ATCGGTTGTAGAAAAAGGAGAGCTAAAGATGTCTTGTAGTTGCCTAAAGTTAAATTCACTATTTGACTAATGGCAGTCAATTAGGATGTCAAATGTTGTCTTTTTTCAAATGACTGTTTGGCCTGACCGGAGGAAACTCACAATCATAACCTGAGATATATATGGGTTTGTTGATTATGTACTATCACATGCAACACAGGTCTGTAAACTGACACAGACCAATGGGCTAGGATAGTATACATCTTCAAAGCTTAAATCTGTTTTTATGATTGGCACAAGTCAAATTCATAATGCAAATATTACATCCAAAATTATTACAATTTCAGTATGGTTGGAAGTGTATTTTCTTATAGTAAAAACTAGTGTTGAAATATTATCATATCCTATTATAGACCTTATAAAGTTATACGGACTATTTTCAAATTTCAGTAAAATATGTTTTTAAAAATATTTAACTACTGTTCACAGTTCTCCTTAACATATCATTTAGGCCTACCATAAAAAAACTTTATAACCATTCGAGTGTTATTTGTCGTAAAAGCGACAAATAACACACTTTGTGTAGTGTTATGTGTCGCTTTTGCGACACACAAACATCGTTTACGGCGAAGGCCCTATGACTGACTGAATCGGATTGAACTGGATCGAGTTACGTATCGTTCTTTTTGGCAGTTTCTAAGCTTTCTCCAGAGGTCTGTTTCTTCATTTTAGTTCCGAAAATATTGTAGCAGACAGCTGACGTGCGTATTTGTAAACAGCTTGGTTAACCTCGCATCGATGACTGATGTGTTTTATTACGTTTATCATTGTTTTAGTGTTAAAATCAAAAGTAGTAATATACGTGGTGCATTATAAGAAGATTTAAGTGGTTTTGAAGGGCTGGTTGATGATCCTGAAGAAGTAGGTAGTGATATTGATGTAAATTATCAGCCAGATTCCTAGCTATGGTTAGGCTATGCATTCTTAGCTAAACGCTTTGTACCGAAATCGGTTTTTTGCCCATAACTTATTTATTTGCAAATCTACTTCCTTATATTATTATATTTTTGGAATCCCCATAAAATTCTGAACAAAGTGGCTATTTTAAAATATTTGTAGACCTATAAATTATAACAATTTATTGAGCGCAAACATACATTTTTTTATTTATTTCATAATTTTTGAGAAATGTTAACCCCACAAAAATTGTTGAACATTTTTTTTGTAATGTTTTATATGTTACATTGAAGCCCATAATTTTCCAAACAAAATGACATATAAAACAGTATACTTTACATTGTTTTTAAGTTTCTAAGATACATTTTAATAAAACCCTGCGATTGCGCAATAAATGGGCGAACATTAAGACCAAAACTAGAGACACTTGGAGGGTTAATGATTATAAGCATTATGTTACAAATTAAACAGTTAATACATTGTAAATCACGTATTTCTCTTAACCTTTATCCAAGCTAGCTCGTAGTGATAGATCGTTCAATCGTTCAATTTATATTCCTATCTTGGTAGAGTAGGGGGGTGGTACAAAATGTTCTAACATAGAACTAGTGCAAAGTATGATGGTGTAAATGTTTCCAAAACCTCTGAGAGGGCGCCAACTTGTTTCATGTTGCTTGGTGTTTAGCCATTAGTTAACAAGGAAATTCAACATGGCAAAAGAGTATGACAGGACAGTTAATTTAGGTCTACTTAAACTAAAAACAGGTTTCACAATGGAAATAAAAAGCTGACTGTTAGCTTCGAATCGGATGCATCACCTGTTGGTCTCGGAGCAGTTCTATCACACAGACTAGAAAATGGAACAGAAAACCCAAAAGCTTTTGTATCACGCACCCTAAAAAAAAGTGAAGTGAAATATAATCATATTGATAAAGAAGCAGCAGCTATTTATTTTGGACTGAAAGGAAATCATCCCATAAATTTATGGACGCAAGTTTATATTGATTACTGATTAAGCCTCTTGTGTCCATATTCGATCCTGAAAAGGCAAAAGACTACCTACTACGGCAGCGACTTTCTCCATCATAGGTTATGTCGTCTTTGTCCTCGTTTTCTATTTTTAGTAAGTAATAAATAAATCACTACAAATAACAACAGGGCCCATTACAAGAATAGCCTAGACCATACTGAAGTAGTGTATTTGCCAGAGAGTTGAAGACTGTGTCCCCCACTCCTGTTCGCCGTTGACCATCGATATGTACTAGTACTAAGTACTACGTACTATCGTAGTATATATCGATGCCGTTGACCAACCGCTACCGCTATCGCTTGCACTATTTGGCCAAATTTTCACAGCGATAGCGGGAGCGATCCCGCCCGTTACCGCTCTTCGTGCATAAACCACACAAACAGCGACCAGCGAGAGCGACACGAATGGGAGTTTGAATTGATTATTTCCAAGCTTACATTGCGACCTGCTGCCTAAAGTCGAACTAAAAATGTCTACAAGATCGTTGCCCGCTCCGCTCTCAAACGCTCGAACATACAAACAAGATTGTTCCAAAGTTAACCATGCGCTCGCAACAGCTGTTTGTGTGCGCGTTCCTACTTGATTGTATGGGTTTGATTTCGTCACTAAAAATCGTGCCACTCCTTCCCGCGCCGCTCCGCTCCCTATCGCTGTATGTGTGTTTCTACCCTAAAGCCCCGTTAAAACAAAGAGCGGGAGCGGTTGCGGTAGCGGGAGCGGTTTTCAACAACTTTGAGTTTAATGAGACTATTTATGCACGAAGAGCGGTAGCGGTTGTCTTGCCGCTGCGGTTTCCAATACGAACGCTGTAGTTAGAAATCGCAGCGGTTGTTTGAGAGTGAGCGGTTTTCAACTACATTGAGTCAAAACATACTGTTTATGCACGGCGGAAGCGGTAGCGGCTGCAGCCATGGTTACCAACTTGACCAAATACTCCATTGCACTCATAGGCTAGACCAGTACTGTAGATGTGTATTTGGAAGAGAGTTGGCAAAACTGTGTCCTCCACTCCGTTCGCCATTGACCGACCGCTACCGCTATCGCTTGCACAGTTAGGCAAAAATTTTACAGCGATAGCGGTAGTGGCTCCCGCCCCACTACCGCACTTCGTGCATAAACGGGGCCTATTCGATATACAGGGCTTTTCAGAGCTCCCTACCAAAGTTTTAGGACATTGTCCCTGGGTAAGAAACATATCTAAATATCATATTAAAATTTTCCAGAATTCCTTAGTAACTCACAGTCACACATCCGCCATTTTTAGCCTAGTATTTGAAGGATGTGTTTAACAAAATAACACACTGGAACCTTTTGTCACCGGCACAAATAGCTCTCCGCACTACAGCTGGGACACTAGGGTACTGCAGTAGTTGGGCGCGGGTAATAAAACGTGCTAAAAGGTTCGAGTAATGGTAGACTGAGAAATTTGTAAACACAGTGTACTCAATCCCAGAAAAATAATTGTCGAGTACGGGAGGAAGGTGTGGGAAAGATTTACATTACACACGAAGGATTGAACATATTTCATACTCACAACTTACCTACTAGTTCACTGAAATGTTTAATGTTTTGTAGTAAGCAACGTCTTTAACGAGTAAACAGCTATAACGTCATCAGACATTCTCCCCGTCACTCCTGAGTTATCAAATGAGGAACAATAACAGGAATGTAATAATGCAATAACTTTAGCCAAGAACCATGTCTCTTTATCAAAATCTAAAACGGTGAGGGCAACTGTGTAAATCGAGTTCCACGACTCTTGTACATTCTGGAAAAGCGTTTTTCTCACTGTTTTACAGGTTCATTTTACAGGTCTTGACGAAACTAAACAATTGATTTAAAGAAAATATAAATCAGATCACTAATTACGAAATGACAGCAAAAAATATTTAAGTAACTTGTTAAAGTTAGGCTAATTGTTGACTGCCTTTTTAAATAAGTAGTCAGTTTTATATTTTCTTTATATCAATCGTTTGGTTTCATCAAGACCTTTTAAATGATACTAAATTCAACCATAATTCCCGTTTGAAAATATTGAACTATCCTCCCTACCCCCACTACGCCTAAGGCCTGAATTTTACAACTTTTAACATCATTATTAGAGTTCCTCATATATAAGAAGGTTGCCGCAAACTAATCTCAAATAGTTAAAAGTTAAGGGCAGGGGGTGCTAGTTATTTTTGAAACTCTCGTGGTTAATTGGATTTGAATCATTTTATGGTGACAGTTATTTATTAGGGCAAAATCTTCTAAATTATCAATAATTATTGAAGACTCTCATGTATAAGAGGTTCCTGCAAACCAATTACCAATATCTCAAATAGTTAAAAATTTAGGGGGGGGTTGCAAATTACTTTCTCAGCCACCCGCTGAATATAGATTTAATACAATTCTGACCCGCCTGGTGTTTGTTTGTATAAAACCAATACAATCCCGACCCACCAGGGTCAGAATTGTATGAGGGTCAGAATTAGATTGTTTTCATAACTATATATATATATATATATATACATATATAAAAATTTGAACGAATGGTGTTTTTGGCCTCTGGGGACATCAAAATGAAAAAGTAAATCAGTCCCGGGTCTAGGTCTTACCGTGCCACCTACGGTAATAGCTACTTCCCTATAGGGAAATTCGCTAAAAGCAGGAGATTGAGATGGGCTGGACATGTGAGGAGGAGAGAGAACTCATCATTAATTAAAGCTGTGGACCAGAACAAACCAGAAGGCAGAAGACCACTCGGCAGGCCGAGACTGCGATGGACGAGTCAGGTGCTAAAGGATGTGGCTGTATTGGGCACTACTCCTGAGGCAGCGGAGGATAGAGAAGAGTGGAGAAGCATCGTTGGCGAGGCCAAAAACCTTCTGAGGTTTCAATGGCCAAGGAGGTAAGGTAAGGTAAGTAAAAGTAAGGCTCAATTACTACAAATGCATTATAGTAAGCTGCTACACAAAGTATTGGGAAACCTAAACTGATGATTAGAAACTAAACTACTAATAACAATAAGAAATTAGAAAAAAATTTCACTTACTGTCCTTTAAGTTCTCCTTTTTTGTAGCCATTCTCCATTATTAAACCCTGAAGATCTTTCAGACTTTTGGCTTTGCTATCAAGATCCATTTGCCAAAGAACATTTTTGATCACAGAGTTAATCAAATCATCTTTTTCCCCATCCACTGGGATGTCGAGAAAGCCCTCCAGATTCTTTTCTTTGTCTTCTTTTGCCTAATGAGTGCAAAACAAAATTTAGTTGATACAATTTGAAAATATACCTGCTGCAGCACACCTGCAAACCAGAGAGCAAAAAAAAAAAATAGAGCGGGCATCAAGCAGAAGAGGTGAAGCCCTCAGAAAAGTGGTGGGGGGAGCAATGAGACATTCTAGTTTCACTTGTTTCAGGCGTTGCTTCCATGCAAAATGTGTTTCGAGTCAGGAAAGGTCTTCTAATAACATTGTTAGAATAGTAAAAAGTGTTATAAGCCTCCTAGATATTATAGTTTCAAATTATTTGTGTGAAATGTTTATGTTAAAAAAATAACTTGTAATAAAAACATTCAATTTAATTTGCTTGAAAGGTTTTCTCAGTATAAAATACATTGCCATTGCGGTTTTAACGGGAGCCTACCAGTAGATCGACAATTTACTTTGTCGTCAGGCCACTAGACTGTATTTTTAAATTAAGTATATAAATACCAAAAACCTATTTGTCGACAAGTTATTTCATCGTCAATCCCATTGACTAGCCTGTAAAATTAAATTACTAAGTGCGAGACTCCCCTTCGTCGACAATTGACTCAACCATCAGCTCATCGAAAGAAGCTTTGTTGATACATTCATACTAGTTTATTTAAGAGGGAGGTTTCGAAATTCATCCAGCTAATAAATTGCTCGGAAACATCAGCCAGTGAGTCATTACTGCCCCTGAACCTTGGAATAACTCAGATGGAGAATTGAATTCAATTAAATTCAAAACTACTTTATTCATTTTTTGTACATAAATACATTGAATAGTGTCAACAGTTGCAAGTAGGCCTAATAGTTATGTCAAAGTCAAAACATTCTTTATTCATTGTTTTGTAGCGTAAGTAAATTAAATGAAATGAAAATGAATGAAATGAAAAAGTGCTTTATTGCTGCTTTTATTTACATTTCCAGATACCACGCAGGGCATCTGCCAAAATGAACAATTTAGGCATTGGCCGGGGAAAGACTAACCATCATAATTCTTAATTCTTTAAAATTTTCTTTAACATGGTCTGTTTGTTCCATATTTAGCATTATTCTGATTGATTTCTTTTGTAGTTTTAATATCTCATTCAGATTATTAATATTGGTTGCTCCATAAACATGTATATTGTAGGCTAAATGAGAATGAATCATACCGTAATAGACCATTTTGAGAGTTGTCAGATCACAAATATTTGTTAATGTCCTGAGAGCAGACACACCCGAATTCATTTTTGCCAGTATTTTTTCAACATGGGAGTTCCAACTGAGACTGCTGTCTATATTTAGGCCTAAAAAGGTTGTTTGTCGAATAGGTTCTTAAGATGTATTATCAATTTTTATGTTGGGGAAAGCAATTGTTTTGTTTTTGGTGGAAAAGTTAATATAATTAGTTTTAGAAATATTCAAAAATAAATTATGCTCAATTAAAAACCTTTGGATATTAATGAGTTCTGAGTTTGCCACAGATTCTATATCCTCCAATTTTTTTCCTGATATCTCTAAGTTTGAATCATCTGCATAAAGAATTATTTTGCTCTCCCTTTGATTTACTAGTGTTTGGTTCAAACCGTTGATGTAGATTATGAACAATAAGGGGCCCAAAACTGACCCTTGAGGTACACCTGTTTTTATTTTTTCAAGTTTTGATGTTATTTTTGATGTACTGTTTTTGTGAGAGTGTGTTACTTCTACATATTGAGCTCTGTTTTCTATATATGACTGAAACCAATTATAAGAAATGTTGGTAATTCCCACATTCTTTAGAATTTCTAACAACTTACTGTGGCAAACACTATCGAATGCTTTTTTAGCGAATTTCCCTATAGGGAAGTAGCTATTACCGTAGGTGGCACGGTAAGACCTAGACCTTGGACCGATTTACTTTTTCATTTTGATGTCCCCAGAGGCCAAAAACACCATTCGTTCAAATTTGTATATATGTATATATATAGACTTATATATATATATATATATATACGTCCGTGAACGCGATAACTTGAGTAATTTTTGTCCGATTTTGATGAAATTTGGTTTAAAGGTGTAAAGCGGGATAAACTTGAATGAGTTCGCGAACCAGCATGATCGGACCATGGGAACGGGGCTTTACGGGGTGTTTTATGGGGTAAAAATTGGTTTTTCTCACTTTTGACCCTCAAAACACAAAATTTCCCAATTTCTCTTTAGACCTATTTAAAGAGCTTAAAAAAACAATTAATTTAGTATATAAAAGTATTTTTGTTCGGTTAATAGTAACGGAGAAAATTAATAAAATTGTTAATTTAAAATTCCCATGTTATTCTTATGGAGAATATTGTCAAATGTTGTAGTTTGCTTGTTTATGGATATATTTTGTATTTTGATCAAATTTATTTATTTTGTACTAAGCTATCAATATTTTACAAAAAAACTCACTTCATAAGTTTTCTTGTAGCAGCAAACCTAGGTACTGGTTAAACCTAATGTTATTAAAATATATTTAATTGAAAATCAATTAAGACAAATGGAAATTCGCTTAGTCGGCAGGTTTGCTGCGGCGGGGGTATTTAAGGTCCATAAAGATGCCAATACATGTTTCACCTTTATCTATTGAATTTAGAATGGTTTCCACAAATTCTGCTGTTGCAGTCCCAGTTGATCTCCCTTTGCGGAAACCATGCTGAGATTCATCTAACAAACCCTCCGTCTCTAAATATTCCAATAGCCTTTTGTGCATGGCTCTCTCATAGATTTTTGAGAAAGTTGGGAGCAACGATAAGGGCCTATAATTTGAAATTTGTTTAGGATCACCTTTTTTTAGAGCTGGTATTACTTTGGCTATTTTTAGTTTGTGTGGAAAAATTCCAGAGACAAAGGATGAATTGATCAGATGAACCATCACCTTGCATATTGCTGGGCCAATAAACTTGATCACTTTTATTGGTACTTCATCGTACCCACATGAAAACTAATTTTTTAAGCCATCAATTACAGTAGAACCTCTTTAATCCGAACTAATTGGGACCAGGGGTAGTTCGGACTATTGAATAGTTCGGATTACAGAACATATTGTTGTTTTTACATAACAATAGCTAAATTGGCTAAAATTGATCAACATTATTTTGGGAAAAGTGAAAAAAATGTTTTATAAAGTAAAATACAGTGTTTATTTAATACAGTAGTAAACATGGTGAATAAACAGTACTGTAAATTAAATACAGTATAAAATAAAGAACTACTGTACTGTGTGTAGAGTACAGCAATGAGGGGTTCGGATTAGTGGACGTTCGGATTAGGGGGGTTCGGATTAAAGAGGTTCTACTTTATTGTCATACATTCTTTATTATCTATTGGTTCAATCTTAAAACTGTTTGGGCCTACCAGTCTAGAAATGATGCTGTCTTTATCCAACTGATCACTCTGTTTACATGTATTAGTACTACAAATATTTGAACTGTTACTACTGCTAGCATCATTCATAGATTCTACAAAATATTTATTAAATTCAGTAGCTATTTCATATGGGTTTCCTAGCTTATTATTATTTACAACCAGTTTTATATTCTCATTAATTTTTCCCTTGTCCTTCCCTGTCTCTGATTTAATTATTCCCCAAGTTTTTTTTCCAATACAGGTTGATTTTTAAATTTTGTTCTTCAAAAAAATCTTGTTTGTTTCAGTTAACCTTGATTTAAATTTGTTATTTCCTTGTTTAGCTTTATTACTTAAATGTTTGTTTTTTGTTTGCCTTGCTATTTTAAATAAATTTATTACTTCTTTTCTTTCTTCTTTTAGAGAATCTGTGATCCAATTGTTATTATTGTAAGTTTTTATCCTAGTTTTTGTCTTAGGAAATATAAGATTGAAATAGTACATAAAAGTTTTGAAGAAAGCATTGGACTTATCCTCAACATTTGCATAATAGACATCATACCAGTCTTCCATTCCCAAATAGTTTTTGAATATTTCCAGATTGTTTTGTGAAAAGGTCCGTTTGTACTTTATAGTAAAGTTATTATGTTTCTTACTATTTTCATCTACTAATATATTTAGTATTTGCCCGTCACGGTCAGAGAGAGCAGTCACAATCCCCTCAACTTCTACTCTATCACAGTTTATATTAGTTACTAGTGGCTTGTACAAATTATAAGGTCTCATGGGTTACCCTACCTTGAATTATCAATTAAATTACGCACCGTGACGGTACCAAAATAAATGTAACGTGTTTTTTTACGTGTGTTCTGTGTTTTAAATTGATGAAAAATCTGAGAAGAGGATAAACCTGAGGATGTGGCAGTCGCCACGAAACATGTAGTTTGTCTACCAACACTAAACAGGATATTGTAAGGTAACAAAATAATTTAATTAAATTAATCTTAAAAATTAATAAAGCAATCTCCAGAAGTAGGACAATGAATTCTGACTTGAATTATCGTTTAACATTTTTGTGTATTATAATATGTATAATAGTTATTACATACCTGCATAATGCATTTTGATGTCTGCTCTGTTTAAAATAAAAATTCCAAAGGACTGTTCATGCGGTGTGTTTATAATATAAACTTTCTAATCATAATACAACTAAGGAACATTTTTCAATAATAATCTTCATGACTATTAATTAAATATACAGGGTGACAAAAAAGTCTGGAAACGGCTTAATATCTTTTTAACTAAATCCGTTAGAAAAGTCAAACTTTTCACATCAACTTACACGTATAAAAACTACTTTTTCCAAGCATTTTCATGTTTTTACCTCCACCAGGGGACGTCCCATGAGGAGTAGGTACATAATCTTTAATGTAAGCATAGGTTGATATGCACATCATTTTTAAGGTCTGGTCAAGTGGAGTTCATTGCCGGAAACCGCATCTCAAAAGGTTCATTCGTTACAAAATGGCGGCATTTCAAAGTTCTTGTGGAATATACCTTTACAGGCCTTAATATTGGTAAATACTCGTATTAAACATTATCTTGAGAGCAGAAACTGTATTTTAAAGTCAACTAGCCCATATACTACGTTTATTCAATCTTCAAAACATATTTAACCGGGTTTCAGATTTCCCGGCTAATTTTGACTATGAGTATTTACCATTACTAAGGCCTGTGCAGGTATATTCCGCAAGAACTTTGAAATGCCGCCATTTTGTAACGAATGAACCTTTTTTGACGCGGTTTCCGGCAATGAACTCCACTACACCAGACCTTTAAAATGATGTGCATATCAACCTATGCTTACATTAAAGATTATGTACCTACTCCTCATGGGCCGTCCCCTGGTGAAGGTAAAAAAATGGTAATACTTGCAAAAAGTAGTTTTCATGCATATAAGTTGATGCGAAAGGTTTGAATTTTCTAACGAATTTGGTTAAAAAGATATCAAGCCGTTTCCAGACTTTTTTGTCACCTAAAGAGAAATCGGGAAATTTTGTGTTTTGAGGGTCAAAAGTGAGAAAAACCAATTTTTACCCCATAAAACCCCCCGTAAAGCCCCGTTCCCATGGTCCGATCGTGCTGGTTCGCGAACTCATTCAAGTTTATCCCGCTTTACACCTCTAAACCAAATTTCATCAAAATCGGACAAAAATTGCTCAAGTTATCGCGTTCACGGACGTATATATATATATATATATATATATATATATATATGTCTATATATATATATACATATATAAAAATTTGAACGAATGGTGTTTTTGGCCTCTGGGGACATCAAAATTAAAAAGTAAATCGGTCCCGGGTCTAGGTCTTACCGTGCCACCTACGGTAATAGCTACTTCCCTATAGGGAAATTCGCTAAAATTTTCTGGTCAAACTTTCATTATGTTATCTTTACAAGGTAATGAACTGAAAATATAACTTATTTTAAAGAAGCACACATATTTCATTGGTACTTTTTTATAAAAAATATTTTTTAAATTTGAAAGAAAAAATTAGAAAAAAAAATTTATATTAGGCTACACTATTTCAATCAACACAGTCGCAATGTACATACCTTAAAAAAAATTGTATTTAACTGCAATAATAAGGGAGTTATTAATTTTTTTTTCAAAACATGTGTAAAACATGTGTTATTGGCTTGGGATTCTTGAGTAACAGCTGGCATCAAATGGCTGGGCCGCCCCAGCCAACGCAAGCCAAAGTGCATGGGACTACTCAACTAAATCTAGGGTTAATTATTGGGATCCAAAGGGTTAAATAGAAATAAATCTGTCAATTTTAAGGGAATACTTAGGGGAGTATAAATCCAGCCCGGTAAATGGAAATTCGCTTAGTCTGCAGGTTTGCTGCGGCGGGAGTATTATAAATTATATAGGCATTATCAAAAATTGAAATTAGTTTTGTCCAACCCTTCCAAACATTTTACAAAATAACCTTGGTAAGTTTGGCTAAAATATGTTCAACCATTATTGAGTTAATGTGTTAGAAAGTTTGCATTGAGGTCGATCTCAAAGAGCTTTGCTTCGCTCAATTATCCTAGCCAATGACACAGCTAGGATCTTAAGGCGGTGACACACTATCGATCTTTTCCCCAATCAAGACCCCGAACCGAGCAGGGAGAAGGGAAAAGGGAGATAAATATCAGCAAAATTTCACTCCGAACATTTCCCTAAACAAGACCAAGACCAGACGAATTCTACCGAGCGCGACAAAAGGGAGTTTAGAGAGAGATGGAGAGTGTGTGCGAGTGAGAGCGCATTAAAAGTCGCTTTTTGAAAACTTGTCGCAAAAATAAAATATTCTAGAAAGGATGCTTAGATATATGTATTGATTTTTATTGGTTTTATTCATTGAAATAACGTTACAGAATGATCATTTTAATTGCCTTTAATAATATTAATGTTTATATTAATTCTGAAAGAATTTAAGACAACATCAATTACCTGCAAAAATAAAATATTCTAGAAAGGATGCTTAGATATATGTATTGATTTTTATTGGTTTTATTCATTGAAATAACGTTACAGAATGATCATTTTAATTGCCTTTAATAATATTATTGTTTATATTAATTCTGAAAGAATTTAAGACAACATCAATTACCCTACTTAATTCACTTTAATATTATTAATTGATTTAACGGCTTCTACATTTTCAACCTTGACCAAACAAACCACAACATTACATCTTAAATGATCATAATATATACCGGCAACATATTACCCACCATTTATTTATTTTACCAATTAAAGGGTCTAATTGCCATATTAAATTATAAATCAACGCTAGCACAGGCGGCCGCTCGGTGCGACGCTCGCGACGGCGTACAGGGCAAAAATGTACCGTGACACACTATCGTACATCACTCCGTATATCGGACCGATCTTTTCTTTGATCTTTCTCCAAAAAACCGCCTCCAGAGCGCTCGTCTCCCTGCTCGGCCTGATGTCTGGTTCGCCGTCTGGATCGGTGTACGGACCCCTGACACACTATCGAGCATGCTCCCTTCGACCTCCCTTCTCCCTGCTCGGTTCGGGGTCTTGTTCGGGGAAAAGATCGATAGTGTGTCACCGTTTTTAGTCAGTAACAAATCTATAAAGATCATCTTGCACCATTCTACACTCATCCTTCACTCATATTTGGGTTAAAATACACACATACAAGCGTCCCCATATTAACTGATAATGATAAAAGGTCAATTCACTGAATAGAATAGTTTGCTGTTTCCTATAAAATTACGACAAAACTTACCTGCGACCTTAGAGCATCAACTATGGCTTGAACAACTTCTGAATCCCAATTCTCTTTTAGATATGCTTCCAAATGCTCCCGGACATAAGGGAAAAGTGTTTCCTGTAAGAGAGATGATTTATTACATCCAACACAATCCTTATTACATGATATAAGAGTATGACTTCATGACATGACTATAATATGGCTGGGTAGCTGAGTGGTTACAGTGCTCACCTAATTTTATGACCTTGTTGATTGACGAAAAGGCAATCACTAGAACTTGTAAAAACCAGTTTCTAACTCTCTTTCTGCAGCCTCCACAACGAATCAACAGTATTCCCCTCCTTTGACTTAATTCATCATGATGTTTTCAACGTTGTTAGAAGGCAATACCGCTACATAACAAGATTGTTAATTATTGGAATACAATAGCAATAGCCTGCTTAACTAATTAGGCTCGTAATTCTTCAGTAAGCAGTGGCGGATTTAGGGGGGGGGGGCTGAAGGGGCAGCAGCTCGGACGACAAATTTTTAAAGGCGGCAAATTTTAGAAGTATGTTTTTTTAGTTTGAAATTTCAAAAATATATTGACTTAAAATTAAAAAAAAATATACTTCATATTTAGGAAAGTAACACCTTAGTCAGAACATTCAACCTTCACTGTAACAGCACACACCAACCAAGCTTCCATCCCTGAAAATAGCCAAGCACTTGTTCGAATCAGCGGACAGCCAAGTGGCGGCCGGCAGGTTGACTCATACTCATTGTCTTGCGAGTTATGCGAGCAATATTAGGTACAGTATCCAGTGAGTGTTTTTGACACATTCATGATACCAGTGCAGTGGTATTAGGTGCTTGAGGTGAAGTTTTAAAGCCCTTATTGTTATCGTTCATTTGTATTCTGTATTTAAATTTAAATTGTGTACATTTTTACATTTATTTACTAGGTATTGTCAGATGGTAGGCTATCAAACGTTCTTTCGTCTCTTTATATACTAGAATAAGCTTATTGAGTAATCTATATATATATAATACGCTAAGCCGATTTTTGTGAACAGAACTCCTCCCTCATTTTTGGACCGATTTTGATGATTAAGTGTCAAAAAAATTGCCCTGATCTGTAGTTTTGCAAAGTGTTTTTTGTTTTTTGATATCTTTATTAGTTTGGACAGGATTTTCCATCAAAGTTGGGTTTTCTCCCATAAGATTAACATGGGGGCATCTAAATATTGAATTGGAAACTTTGTCTCCACTAATTTGAGAGAACGGCTGGGCGTAGAAACTTGGTGGAGGTGTCCAAAGAAAGGTCTTGGTCTATAGATGAGTTATCAAAAGAAAAACGAAGTAAATTTGCATAGGGCTCTGCCCCAGAAGCCTTTAAAGATGCCTCCACAGATTTGTTTTGTTTACATTTTGGTCATGTGGATAATACTTTTTAATAAAACAGCTGTTAATTTTAAAATTGTATTTTAAACAACACACATTTATTGGGAGTTACTGAACTATCCAAAAGAAGTATTTGCAATATTATTTCCTGATTTTAAAATTGAATTTCTTCCGTCATATGTTGCAATATAAAGTTCCATTACGAAATCAGTGGAAAATCCTTTTATCACAATAACTCTTACAATTATTCATATTATTCTAGGCAGATCATCATAGGTTTATGAGATTATTGTCATTCATGCTTTCAATCTTTGGGTAAATGTTCGATTGTATAATACAATACAAAATAGTACAAGTGCAGAAGGGCACAGTACCCATTTGAGCCATGTCCATATTTTGTTAAATTAATAGTGGTTTACAGCAACTGGATAAAACATTTTACAATATTTATGTAGAAATAATGTGCATGATTTTGAAAGACATTAAGCTGGAAAACTGCAATATAGCAATATACTGCAGACTTTTCAGAGAGGTTACTTCGATGTATTCATTTAGCTTATGAAAACATAATATAGATATGTATACAAATAAGAACTTGAACTCTTAGAGAGCCTTTGAATGTTATTAGACTAACAAAAAGGGTTATGCATGTTTACTAGCACTACTCAGCAACAAAAACCATTCAATTTATCTCTAAAAAATATATTCTTAAAGTGCACTGAGCAGCAGCTTTAAAAAATATATATGTAGCTTACCCATATGGTTACAAAACGCTCAAACTCCCATTGTGACATTTATAATTCGGCTTATATTTCTTCAACAGATAATTCATCTGCAGAAGACTTTTATTTTGCTCTTACCCTGTGTCTATGTCTAATAACATCCAAACTCAGAAACCTTGCCTAAAATGGTACCTATCTTGACAAATTATTTGCAGTGGCCTATATTACGGACCGTGGCCTACTGGGTTTGTAATATTATTCAAAATAAAATAACACAACATTTTGGCTGTAAATATGGCCCAATGAATAACGACAGAAAGGTCATATTCCTTTTAAACTAGATCATGTCATCCTTTATAAGATACGTTGGTTAACAATGCATGTAAACAAAATATGTATAGTTTCACTCAATTTATCGCAGTTAGATGAATTGGCGTAAACCCTGAAAGTAACCGTCGATTTCGACGGGTTTCACCTAGTATCTATATAATTAATACGCTACATGAAACTTTGTCGGTTCAACTCCTCCGCCATTTCTTAACCGATTTTATCCATTGACGTCTCATTGGAAAGAGCGTGTCGCGTGGATTTGCAAACTGGCCTTACATTTTTGAAAATGTTTTTGCCCTCAGTGGCTTTGAAAGTTCCCATGTTATCCTTATGAAGAACATAATTGTTTACATTTTGATCAGCTGTATAATTTAATTGCTGTTTTATTTTAATTTATTTTTCAATTCAATGAAACGCATTGAGTACATTTGTTTACTATTTGAGTTTGTGTAAACATAACCCCCAAGACGGATCGTGTTAGTATGGTTTTATTATTTTAATATAGGCCTATTCAATATTTTAAGTGTAGGTACATTTTTTTCTGTGTCATTGGCAACCTTATTTTTTAAGGCAGATGTATTTATTTTTATAAATAAACTCTTTTCTCTTTTAAATTTGTGTTTTATGGTTGTTTTGCGTCGCTATGACGGATCGTGTTAGCATGATTCTAACTTAAATTTGTGCATTTATTATTGTTTTGTGTACCTATAATTTGTTTATTTGTTGTTTTTTCCTTTTAAATGCCTCCGACGCGACGAAAACGAAACATAGACAGGAGGCGTAATCGTGATAACGACCGCCGCTACAGAACAGTGGCGCGTACTAGGCTTAACTCATCACAGTCAACACCTGACCCCGGACAATCTCAACTATTAGGTTACAAATGCGCCCTAACACTACCCCAAAACGACTTTTCGTTCTCAATTGGCCCTCTATCAATGACCTGTGTTGCCTGTACAGCCAGTGGCGGATTTACCATAAGGCACACTAGGCACGTGCCTAGGGGCGCCAGCCGTTGAGGGGTTGAAGGGCGCCTGGCCGCGGCAGGCAGCGGGTTAACGTGACGGGCGGCGCGACTACGGGCGGCGTGCGTGGCGGCGGGCGCCAGGTGATTATCGATCGGTGAAGATGACTCAAGTTCATGTCCCGACGTGCAGATGCAGACATAATATAGACTGCGAGTAGCTAGCAAGCACTAAACTAGCGTCTAGATACTCAGAGCAACGAGTCGGCTCACCGCCCACCGGAGCAACAGTCGTGGTGGGGAGCGGGGAGGAACGATGACAAAAGGTGATGTGACACTAAAATTGGCTCTCGGTTGGTAAACCAGTTGGCCTACAGATATCATAGAATTCATTTCAACGTTTATGTTGGACTTATTTACCACACAATTTGAGCATAGTTCCAGATTTCATGAATCTATTTTGATTATCTAATCTTAAATCATTTTGAATCAACAGCTTGTGCATAAGCCAGAGAATAATAAACCTGTGAAGGGTTTATCAAGAGTTCTTCAACCTAATAACTTCAATTACTAAAAATATGTTAATCGTAAGATAAATCTGAGAATTTAGACGCTAGTAATTATTCAAAAATAGGCTACCAATAAGTTATGTTACAGCTATAGATAGGTAGATAGATTTACAACAACATATAATATGTTGTTATTTCTATAATTACGATTCCATATTATAAGATGACATAAACAATCATTCTTCGAACAACTTTAATCCTTTCAGTTTAACGTTTATTCCAACCAATCGCTAAAAATCTATTTGCCATTTTCATTTGGTTTACCACATTTGGAATTCAGACTCAAGATGCATGGAGTAAAAGTAACTAACTTTTACCATAGACTAACCAACACAAGTAGACTTCTCATCCCATTGTAAATTTTGAAGCTCGTTTTTCATGTCTAGTTCATGAACGCCACACTGGGCGCTAGTGTCGACGAAATTTTGTTTCTATTATTTTAGGGCTAATTTCTTGATTTGCGCTTTACTGTTTGGTTAAATAACTAGGGGACAAGTTATTGTTTATGATTAGATCGTATTATTTGGTTAAACGAGGTTTTAAATGACTGTATTAACGAGAAACAAATTGTAAACAAAACACAACCTCTACATAAACCGTACAGAACTAACAATAAAATTGTCTTCAGCTGTTCCATTAGGATGAGAAATCTACTAAGGGAGTATGTTTTATCTATGCTTTTACTCCATGCATCTTGATTCGGACTCGCTACAGGGCTAGCAGACAACTAACCGCTAAGAGCGCTACCCATGGTGAAGGTTTGAATTAAGTAATGACATCATAGTTTCTCCCCGCTCCCCACCACCACATTTGCTCCGGTGAGCCGACTCGTTGCTCTGAGTATCTATCTAGACCCTAGACGCTCGACGAGCACTATCAGTAGTCAGTGTGTCATTAGTACCAGTTACAGTAGTACCCTCTGGTGTGGTAGTACCTGTGTTGTATTTCATTGGCATGGCAGTGAAAAAGTGTGGTGGCAGATGTTGTGCCGTAAACGTCATACTAGCGAATGGCGTTTTGGAGTACGAGTCACAATATTGGCCTACCACCACCTCCGCGCACCTGTTTTGCGCATGTCAAGGTCAAAATTTCTTCCCTTGCTACAGGAGAAACAAAGTTATTTTAGTTTCAATATTACGTATAAAACGT